TTAACGAGGCCAATTGAGCAGCTGCAATAAATACAAATATTTTTCTAAACAGCCTTGTTTTAAATAATTACTTAATGTTTTCATGTTATTTTTAAGTGGCAATCTTTCTCCTGCTCCTGCTCAGAATATCGCATACTTATTTGCTGAGAAGACCATTTTGGAAACGACTTTGTGTTTTTGTTTGTTTTGTAGATGGTAGGGTTCATTTTGCGGCTGGGTTTTGTTTTGTTTTTTCTTAGGATCAACATTTCTAGAGTCCCATAAGCTGGCACAAATGGTGGAGTTGGACCTTCGTTTTACCCCATTGCAGTCTAATGTGCCTGACCCTGCAGAGTAGGGGAGGAGCTGAGTGACTGATGGAAGAAATTTGTCGATGCATCTAGTCACTTATCCAGGCCTGTTTTAGCTGGGTTCTGCAAACGAATCCATGCAATTGCACTTACAAATTGCTGGGAGCCATTAGCCAAGTAGGTATGACAATTTCCTTGCCAGCGTACCCCATGTTGCTGACATGTTGCAGCGACATTGAATGTAGGTGACCTTGCTCAAGGACCAAGGCAGATTAGGGTGTTCCCGGTTTTAAGATAATCCTGTTTAGGGCGTTCCCAGTTTAGGTTCCAGGTTTAAGGTTTAAGATTATTCCTCCTGGGAATAGGGCGTATCCTGCTGCCTGAGTTCCCCTTGAGTTCTCAAGTGATTCAGACAGTATATTTTGGGAGACAGAAGCCCAGTGGAGGTGGATTTGGGAGAGAACGTGAATTTGGGCAGAGAACGTGGATTTCCCCAGAACGTGATTGTAGACGGCTGGTGTGAGTTCGGGAATAAAGAGTTGCTGTTTGAATCTACAAGCTGTGTGGTGGCTCGTGATTGTGTGCCCAGCCAGACTGCGGCAACAAATGACACCCTGAAGAGTGGCACCGTTTCTGATTTGTCCTGATGACTGTCATCATCTTGAACAAATCAGGATTCCAGCATATCCCAAAGGCATCCCTTATAAAGTTCAATCTTTGAGCAGTTTGACTCACCTGCAAGTTGACAGGAGTGGTGGGGATGGGCTGAGGATTTCTTTGTTAGGGAACTGCACAGAAAGAGAACTCCCCCTAAACGAATGGTTTGGGAGATGGGAGAATGGAGGAGATAATTTAAAAAAAAATTTTTTTTGTCTTGACGTTCTTTACACACACACACACACACACAGAGAGAGAGAGAGAGAGAGAGAGAGAGAGAGAGAGAGACTCCAACTTCTCCATTTACCACTCAGGGGTGATGGTGCATGGAGAGGATACTAAGAAAGCAAAGCTCTTCTCACTTGGAGAATGCTATCCAACCAGACATCTTCAGCAACTGTCCTCTATGACACCCATGCTCTCCGGTGGACATATGGCGACGGGTGTTTCCTCGTTTGGGGAATAATGGAAGCAATCAAGCGGGAAAAACCTAAGGAACAAAAGAATCTTTTAAACTTTCATGAAAGCGTTGGGGGTGGGGGGAACCACTGTAAGCTCCCATTTGGAGTGGCTGTCAAAGGCTGTGTCCCTTTTGAAGGGCTCAGGTGAGAGTGTGCATCCTGAATCTCTTCTCCCTTTGCTTCAAATAAGGAAGTGGACTTCATGCCTGAGGTTTTTGGGTGCAGGACTGCAGCCTTTAGGTGAAGTCAACATAGTCACTAGAAAAACCATTCGTGGGACATACCATGAGATCAAACTGCAGGCTAAGGGGAAAAAAAAATGGGATAAGGATGGAAGAACCAAGTGATTTGCTATGTAACTGGGCAATTTAATGCCAGAGTTAGGGAGCTGCCTGCCGGAATCATTTCGTCTTGAGGGCTCTGCCGAGCTCATCCGCTTTATCCTGTTGTTTAAAATGAGCATTATCCCAAACATATGCAATGCAATCAGTTTGGTCACACTTACAAGAACACGCTTTAATAAGGCAATCAATCACAGGCTAACAAGCGGGCGACGGCCCCAGCCCTGCGCAAACTCGGGCTGAGGAGCTGCTAGTCTTGCCGGCCTTCGTTAACCCAGGCTGGGCACTGGATGGCATTCCCAAGCCACAACGGCCTGGCGAGGATTGAGGAGTTGTGGGAAAATGTGGGTGGAGAATGAAGTGTCAGGGTTAGCTGATGGTGACTTCAGACACTGAGACCCTAAACGGGTGAGCAACGAGGAAGCAGGAACCCGAAGCACATACTGCATTGTCACTATTAAGCTGTGCAAGAACTGGAAACTCTGTTTTTACACCTGAAAGATGGGACCCAGGAGGGGCACAGCTAAGAGGACACACTCCTGAAGGTGGAAAAGCAAAAACAATACCCAGTCACAGACCCTGTTGCCTGGTCTCAGCCTTCTCATTTTACAGAGAGAGATTGTGGCTGTGGATGGGGCGGTTCCTTCTTCAGGGTTATCTCTCACTCTCCCAGCCAAGATGGGCGTGTCAGGCCAGATGGAGATGCTTGGTGCCGGTGGGCTAAGCAAGATGGGGTGGGGGAGGAGGTAAACAAGTGTAAGAAGTGGTGCCTAACGCCAAACCGCAAACCTTGGCAAAAGGGAAATTTCATTATGAAGTAATGAGTAATTCCTCCTGGCAAGATGTATTGTTATATCTTCCACTTCAATTTGGAGGAAGAGAGGCTCAATTACCCAGAAAATACAGTCAATTAAAGGCTGCTGATTGGACACGAGGCCGGATCATCGATCTTGTACTTTCCAATATCGCTGCAGACACCTCATTTTCCCTCCCTATTAACTGAAAATACGCCTGGCATTAAGGCAACCCGCAGCCCATTTACCTGTCGCAAGCAATCTCTGCCCAACGCGGAGCAACCGCGAAATTTGCAGGGATTTGGCACTTGGGAGCTTCCGGCTGCCAAGGGAGTGGGGTGGAGCGCTGTTGGGGGGTGCGGATGCTGGAAACCTCTGCTCAAGGCTTCGCTGGGGAGGGCCAGAGCCACTGTAGGCAGGACTGACTCTGGAGCCTCAGGAGCGAGGAGGAAGGTTGAGGAACCCCCATCTGCCACCAAAGTCATGACAGAGATAATCCTCTGCGTCCATGCTCTTTAGGTTCCCTGTAGGCACCCTCTCTCCCCTGCTTGAGTGAGACTTCAAGTGTAGCCAGCTTGGCTCTGGTGGGAGTGGAGGGCTGGTAAGCCCTGCCTGTCCCCCAATTGTCCCATAATTGCATCATCCAGATGACTTATAGTCTGAGGATAATTCAGACACCAAGACCACCCCATCTCTCCTATAGCCTTGTCCCTACCTTCAGAGGCAGACCCTGCCTACCAGCAAATGAAGCTCTCTGCAGTACTCACATGCACTGCCATTGCCCCACTTGTCTCACCTTGTGTTGGGTGGAAGCAGGTCACAGGGAGACTGCAGCATGGGGTCCTCATTCCTCAAAGAATTGAAGCAACTGGGGAAGGACCCATCCATTAGAAGTAAGCCCCAGGTGTGGTCAGCACTTTGGGGATCAGCTTGCCCATGGAGGGCCCCCAGCATTCTTGGAATCAAGTAAACATGCACCCCAGGGCTGCTAGAAACCTGCCTTCGCCCCCCTGCAAACAGTTTCTGTTTGGAGTCACCAATGCCCCACAGGAGCTTAGAAGACTTATTTGTGAACCCTTCTCTTTCCCTACCCAAGCCCATAGTGACTGAACTAGCAATTCAAAAAGAGTCAGTGTGCTACCTGCTACAAAAAAGAAAAAAAAAAAAGTTGCATGCTAAGTGAGAATCACGTCCAGCTTTTATTGCAATATGGTTAACAAATTATAACAACAAAGTCTTTGGGCTTTAAAGGAAAATCCCAAACCAAACCAATTTCATTCCCTATAGGGAGAACCACTTCCTCCCAGTGGGGGGTGAAGCTTGCATTGGAAAGTAAAAGTTCTTCTCTACCTCAAAAACCAGCTGCAAGAATGAGTGTGAGAGTGAGGGTTCTGGAGTGGCTCCCAAATAAACCCTGGTGAAGGGTAGAGACAGGAACACCTTTTAGGGGCAGAAGGTTCCCAGTTGTTATCTGAAAGTCAAGCCCCTGTGGCAACTTTGGAGAAAATGAGAGGATGTAAAATGCCAAATGCAAAGGTATTGGCCAGAAAGCTCCTGGTTACATGAAGGTGAACAGGTAATGGATGAAAATAACTTCTAATTTGTCACCAGAAACCGAGGAAGGTGAAGTCCCCACTCCCTAAGCTCTTCCCTGGGTGCCTTGTTAACAGCTCAGCTCTGCGATTGGTAGCCAGCCCATGGTGATCATTATTATACATACATTCAACATTCAAAAACCCTCCTTGCACACATCACTTGCTAATCAGTGTGTGGGGGTTCTGGGAGAAGAGGCTTGGCCTCATAGAAGCTGCCCAGGGGCCCTGGGGCATCTGCAGCTTCCCTGCCAACGTCAAACAAAAAAGGGGAGGGGGCTGCGCTGGGCTAGAGTTTCAAGTTGAGATGTGTCAGAAAGCAGGGGAATGAGGAAAGAGATCAGGTGCTGGTAGGAACCAGAAGATGCTGCGTAACTGAGGCTCCAGGAGGGTGTGAAACCTCCAGAATCCGTGCCAAGGGCATGGTTCTCCCTGGCAGTAAATCATCTCTCACTCTCTCTCCCCTCAAAGACTGGTGTGTTGCCATCCTCAAACCCTTTGCTATGCCTTGGAAAAGCTGGTGAAGATTAATCTCTACCTGCTCTGCATACACAGCATTTTGTTCAAAGAGACAGCAATTTCCCCTTCCAGTGCTTAGCCTTGGCAGAAGAGAGAGGGCCCAGGTGAGGAAGGAGTGCGAGATGGGGGCGATGCAAAGGGTCCGGATACGCTGTTGCTGCTAAGTTTTGTTTAGCTGTTGAGCCGTGGCCTCAACCTCTGTCAAAGGTGGTGGTAGCGGTGAAAAACAGCAAAGAGAGGCCACCCTAAAGGAAGCTCTCCTAATCTCTCCTTTCCCGTCCCCCCTCTGCTCTTCAAACACGCCAGCCACTGCCGCTTCCTGGGCGTCCCCATCCTAGAGGCCGAGTCCCGCTTGTCGTTCGCGGCCCTCTCCTTTCCCTTCAGTTTCTTGGGGACAGGAGAGGCACTGGCTGAGTCCCCGGGAGGGGGCCCCCACGGGCGTCCTGGAGCTGGCAGCCCGCGGGCGACCCCTTATCTGGTGAGGGGCACCTCCTCCCTCTGGTCCAAAGCGACAGAGGAAGCCTTGCTCAGCACCGAGGGAGCGAAGGTGAGGAAGGAGTCCGAGCGGGAGGTGGAGGCACAAGTGAAGTCCGAAGCGGCGGCAGCCCTGGGAGCGAGCCCGTTGGCCGGGCCGCTGTGGCAGGCAAGGCAGGAGCAGGGGCCGCCGGCCGTGGAGCCCAGTCCGTGCGCTGGGCCCGGGTACAGAGGCGGATGGCGGAAGGCGCACAGCAGTTCGGGCCGCGGGTAGGGCTGCGAGAGCACGCGGAACGTGTCAAGCGGGCGCAGGGGGCCGCTGAAGGGCGAGGCGGCGGCGGAGGCAGCGGATGCGGCGCCTAGACCCACGGGAGAGTAGTACGGTAGGGGCAGGTGCGATGGGAAGGGGTAGGGCAGACCGCCCGCGGCCGCAGCGTGGCTCATCATGTACGTATAGAAGGCGGGGTCAGCTGGGTGAGGCCACGTCATGGCCAGCCGCTGCCTCTTGTCCTTCATGCGCCGATTCTGGAACCACACCTGCGGAGAGGAACGGAGCAGGTTCGGCGGCTGGACCAGGCCCAGGGCCATCAGCCCAGAAAACCTGTCCCACTCTGGGGGACTAAGTCCACAGCTCAAAGAAGAGACAAAACAAACCAGCTGGGCCAGGCCGGGCCCATCACCACCACCTGAAGTTAGAGTCCTTTCTTAGTAAGGTCAGGGAGTGACTCCAGTCCCTGTCCCTCCTTCCCTCTGTCCACGTGGTCAGGACCCCCAAAGTGTCAGAATTGGCGTGGGTATGCAAGTAAGGAGAGGACTAGGACTCCATCCCCCTGAGGCGTCAGAAACGCATCCATTTCCATCCCTTTCGTTTGGGGCACTTCCTTGCCACTTGCACAGGTATCCCATCTCTGTGATCTATTTGGCTAGGAGAAGCACCGAATCAACCTCATGGCAGCAGAGTCTACAAAGGGACTGTCAGGATAAATCTGCGCTCACTAGCCTGGGAGATCCCAGGTCCAGATTTCAGGCGTGCGACTTAGGGAGTGGGCAATGGGTATTTCCTTCCCGCTAAATGGGTGCACACCCGCCTCGCGCGTCCTGACCGCGCATACCTTGATAGTGGTTTCTGGCAGGTTTAAGGCGGCTGCCAGCTCGCATCTCCTTGGCCTCGATACGTAGTTCTCCCGGTAGAATTCTTTCTCCAGCCGCGCAATCTGCTCCCGGGTGAAGGCGGTGCGGTAACGGCGCATCTGGTCACTGGCGCTGCAGGCCAGGGTGCTTTGCGAGCCGCCCCCACCCCCGCCGCCGGGACCGTTGCTCTTGGGGGCCTCGCTGCCGCTGTTCGGACTGCCGGCCAGTGCCTCGGAGCTGGGCCCTGCGCAGGGATCCCAGAGTACACACGTGTATACACAGAGACACAACAGACACACAAACGCTGCTGACGTGGGAATGTAAAGAGGCAAGTTGAAAACGGACACCCCCACCCCAGGCCACCTCAGTCACTGTCCCCGGTGGGATGGGGTGGGGGCACTCCAGGAGGGAGATCAGGGGCTTGCCATTGGGATAGCGAACATAGAGAGCTTTGGGAAGGCCTGGTCTGGCTGCTGTTTGGAAAGCCTGAGTCTGAGGCATGCTAGGTACAGAGGCTCCCAGCCACCCTCACCACTCTGCCCCCTGGGCACAGGCAAGGTACATTCCCATTGGCAGGAGTGGGCAAAGGTGTGCACATCTGGCAGGCAAATGAGTTGAGATGCACCTCTGTGCTGGAATGTTGTGAACTCTGGGACTTGGTGCATTGTAGGATGCTGGGCATGCAGTTTCCTGGCTCTTGTGTGCCAGGATGCCAGAATAGGTGTGGAAATGTGTACCAGGCTGCATGTATTACAGATGTACTATGTTTGACTGGAACACAGGTTGTTTTGAGGGTATATTATAATACGGAGTCTGGGTTGATTAAATGATAAGAGGGGATGAGGTGGGGGTAGTTACTCAAGGTTGTTGCCTGCCAGGGCCAAGAAGTAGTATCTATCCTCCCAGGCTCTTCCTACCTATTCCCACAGCTTTGTGGAGAAGTGTCTGCTGATGGGCTCTCCCTCTCAGTTTTCTACCCATCTCAGGCCCAAGAATTGTTAGCACAGAGGGAGATTCCCTTCAGGGTCATCTGCCCCACACCCATTAGCCTTTAATGGGGAGGGGTTCTCCAGTTAAAGCATCCCCCTCTTTGGGCCTACCCCTGAGAAGGGTGGGGCTGCAGCCCCCTGCAGCTTCTTTTCCTTTAGGTGGAGAAGTGGGAGTAGGAAGGGAAGGCGAAGGGGGGAGGGCCCTATCCCTGCCTTTTCAAATGCAACCGGAGACCAAAGGCAATTAGACCATTGGGACCATTTCCGACCTGGCGCCGCCAAGCCCGGGAAGTGACAAGGTAATTTGGACCTCTGACCGACGTGCAAACTGGTCGGAGGGCTGCAGCACCCGGGCCGCCAGAGTCCGACGCTATTTTACGGTCCTTTATGGACTCCTGGCTTCCGCGCCTCGATGCGCCTTACACCCCGCCAGCCACAAACTCGCGTTTGATCTTGCTCTACCCGGGGAGAAGGTGTCTTCCCCAGTCAGTTGAAGCATTCCCACAAAATACTGGGGGTTGGGGTGCTCTTTGAATCCCCCAAGCCCAGGACTTGCGCCTCCCCCTCCCAAGGCACAGCTGTCACCCTCAGTCCCACCAATACCAGAACATAGTAGGAGACCCCCTCCAGGGCGCAGATAGCAAGGAAGAGTTACTCAGGTGGGTCCCCCCAGCCATCCTGCCCTGGGGGAAAGGAGTGTCTTCCTTCTGATCTGAGCCAGAGTGAAGGGTGGGCACAGTGGGAGGCCCGGGGAGCGGAGGGGCGCGGTGGCTACCTTTGCTGTGCTGGTACTCGGCGTTCCCGGTGGCGCAGTCCGGGGTGCAGCTCACCTCGATTTCTTCATAGAAATCCGACTCGGTGTCTGAGCTACTTGGTTGCCCCTGCCCAGAAAGGCTGTCGGCGGAAGGGGCCGGGGGTCCCGGACCAAGCATGGCCGCCCCAGCTGCCCGTGGCTCGGCGCCCAGCCCCGCCGCGCTGCCTGCTAGTCCATCGACCGGCTCCTCCTCAGGACCTGCCCCACCGCGCTCCCGGGCCACCGGAGGGCCGGCTCGCGGGCTGAGGCAACCATGGGGCACCATCTTCTCAGATGGATCGGGTAGCGGGCTGCCCACGGCCTCGGACAAATTGGAGACCCTCTTGCCAACCAGAGTGCCAAGCTGACCCCCATCCAGAAACATAACCATGTCCTTTCGGTTCTCCATCCTGGGGCTCTCCGGAGCGGGGAGGGGGGAAGCCCCAAGTGAGCTCCAAACCCCCGGCTCCCAGGGACCCCAGCAGCCGGATAGATCTTGACTGAGAAAGGGAGCGAGAAGCCGGGCGAATGGAGGAGCGCAGAGTGGTCGGAGAGTGATGTCGACGGCGACCGCGGAGGTGGCGGTGGGGAGCTAGGGTCACCTTGTGATGCGAGCGCTCCTCTGTGCCGCACAGCCTCTGGGAGGAAGCCCCATTGCCCTCTTCTTTCTAAGCTGTCATCCTCCTGCTGCAATCGTCATTACAGTACCGCTGGTGACGCCACTCTGCGAGCGCAAGTGGATAAATAGAAACGTCTGCCACAGGGAAGATGAAAGGAGACCCGCAGCTAATGGCTCAGCAGTGATGCGCCAGGTGTGGGCCTCGCTCGAATGGGGAGGAGAGTGTGAAAACAGACAGAGAGACACACACACTGAGAGGGAGACACCCAGGCAGAGGGGATGCAAATGGAATTCAGCAGAAAGAAAAGAGCTTAAGGCGAGCAGGCAGTGTTCCGCAGAGGCAGCGGGACTCGATATTTGAATACGCTTTTGATTTTTTCTTTTATTGTTGTTTTAACTTTTGGTTTCTTAACTTGGTGCCCTGCTCTAACACTGATGAAAGAATCCATAACTGCATTTTGGAAGTGTGAAGGCCGGCTTACAAACCTCGACTCTCTCAGCATTATTACAACTGCTTATCCAGGCAGCTAACCTCAAACTGGCTCCGAAATCTTTTTACCAGCTACCGAAAAATATATCTCCCCACCCCCCAAGTCCCAAGTTGTCTGGAGTGCTTGAGCTGAGGTCTTCTTTGCTCCCCCTTCTTCCCCCACCCCCTTCTGTCTCCTTCCTCTTGGGAATCAAACTTTGTTATTTTTCTTTCCCAAAGGTCAAGAGATGAATATTTTATTTTTTTTTCTTTAAAGACCAGCATTAGCTGCTGAATCAAAGTGTTTGATTTTTTTAAACAAATTCTCCCTCCCCATCTAGATGACCTTATGCTTTCCACAGCCTGGCTTGACCTCAAGGCGGCTGTTCAGAGAAGAAATCGCCTTCCGTTTGATGGGGTCTCACCAGCACTGCAGGTATGTTGTGGGAGACGTTCTAAGAGTGGTCGTGTTTCTTTTCTTGACTGTATTTTAAGGCATTCGTTCTGAATCAACGAATTCTCCTGGAAACAGTTTTTTTCCAGTGAAGAGGCTCTGGCAAATTGGGCCCTGCTTAGGCGGGAGGCTCCCAGCTGGGAGAAGGATCCCTTTCATTTGGGGATTTAAGGCAGGAACTGACACAGTACAGTGTGCTGCTTTGGGGTCAGCAGAGTTTGGATTCACAGGGTCCTTACCAGGGGAAACCATCCCTGGCTTTAAAAGCTCAGGGTTGAAGAGAGGAAAGTCACTGAAAATGTTCTGAAAGAGCAAGTTGGGGACAGAAAACAACTGCCTTCAGAGGGAAGTGGGGGCAGGGTTATGGAATTTGATGTTTGGGGGAGGCTGCAGACTCCTAGGAAGGCAGAATAAAATCCCTTCAAACGGACTCCTTACCAACTCTTAGCAAATGTGGGGTCTGGCAGGTGGACTGGGTTTCTCTCCACTTTGCTGAGGACAGGAGGTGGGCACCTTCTGGGTTCAGCTCCTCTTTCTCTGTCCCACTCCCAGGAGCCAGTCCAACCCAGGCAGAAAGGGTGGCCCCTGCCCCTCTCTCCTTTTCCATGTCCCTTGACAAAGCCCTAGCTTCTAAAGAAACATTTCTACTGATACTTTTTTAAAAATCTTCCTTTTCTCTCCTTTTTTGTTTTCTCTACTCCCCCTCAAACTTCTTATCCTTGGGGTAATAGAAGTGGTGGAAGAAGCAAGGGGTTTGAGGACAGACAAAAAATCTCTCCCTACTCCTGCTTTTCACTTCTTTCCCAATTCAATAAGATGTTCATTAACCTTGCCCGGGGATAGGGGCAGATGTAACTGGAAGTAGTGTCCACATAGATATCTCTACTCCCTAGGAGTCCCAAAGCCACCATCTGCTGAGCACTGCTAGCCCAGAAATCTGGGGAAATATTTCAGAGATCAAAGATGAGCAACTGGGAGTAGGAAACTGAAATTCCAAAACGTTTTGCTGCCATGGGGAGTCATCCATGGATTCTGTAATGCCCTGCCTTTCCCCACCAGCAGCCAGAACCTGAGGGAGCCCTGACTTGTTCTCTCCTCTGTCAAAGTCAAGATTCATGAGTGTCTGTCTTAGCATTGCCTGGGTTGCCCACTCTCTGTGAGGCTTGAGACTGGGTAGCATCCAATCTCCTTCTCCTCATATCATGCCACTTTCTCATAGACACCTCACTACCCCCACTCCTTGGAGCTGATCCTCAGGAACTCCAGGCTCTGCTGCCCTGCCTCCAGCTTTGCATTCAATGGGAATGTTCTGTGTTTGATCCTCTTTTCCTCTGGATTTTCCCTGAAGATGAAAGCAGATGGGATGTGAGATCAAGGAATGCCACTTAGTCTCCTTCCTGGGTGGGCCGGTGGAGCAGGCTTCCCCTTGCATCCCCTGGAGAGGGCTAAAGGTGAAACCTCTACAGAGGGCCTGCCTCCTTTAAGCTCCAGATCCATAGCTTCAGCAATATCTCCCCTCCATCTGGACCCCCACCCATACCTTTCCAGACTTCAGCCCACCTTTTCAAAGCAGCCTCCATTTCTTCAGTCCTTAGGAGGTACTGAACACCTCGGGTTCATGAAGAAGAAAAAAAATCAAGCAAATATCACTTGCAAAGCATCCTTTCATCAGTAGCAGGTGAAAAAAAAAAGGTTGGATTTTAATGAGAAGATGAAAAAAGGAGGGACTGGTAAAAACACTGCTTTTGGATTTTCTTGTGTGTATGGGGGTGCGCTTTAATACCCTCACTATTGTATCATGAAGGTTATTCACTGAACAGCCCAAGAAGGAAGGTAAATTCGGAGTGCCTGTGATGCCTCAGAAATCCCACCAAAGCCAAGAAGCAGGCGATTGCAGCCAAAGTGGGGTCCAGCCTACTCCCCTTCCCCCATCTCACTTCCCCCGCCGCCCGCGGGCCTGCAGTCCCTTCCCCCGCTGGGTGACAGGCTCGAGTCCAGCCGGCTCCTCTCAGATTGAAATTCTCTAGACTTCAAAAGTTCCCGGCTCGCTTCCGCTGGGGCTAGGCTGGGCAGGGGGTGTGCGAGAACCCCGGGAGGCGACTTGGAGATAAGATGCGCCGGTTGGTCGTTTTAAATGGAATTGGAAACCCAGCTTGGGCCACCAGACTTGCTGAACCGCTGAGATTGCTTCACTTCCCAAGAAAACCCGGATCAGGAGAGCAGTGGCAGGGTTTGGGGGCTGACTCAGTGGTCCGAGGTCCTCTCGGGTTCCCTGAACACCTTTCCAGCCTGGAGTAGGGTGGCTCTGGGCAAGCACACACCTTGGCCAAAAGGAAGAAGAGGGAAGTCCTGGAACAGGAGCCAGGAGCTGGTTTGTGTCAGCAAAAATTTGATCAGGGGAAAAAAAAATGTTTTTGTTTCTCTCTTCCATAAAACGTCAGAACAAAGGGAGCTTCATCTTAAACAATAAGTGTTGCCCAGCTGTCATGGATATTTCTCTCTGTCCTAGGGTGCCTTCCAGGCTGTGGGCGAGGCCATTGCTTTCAATGTTCCCGTGGTCTGGGTCTCTGTAGCAGGGATAGACAGAGGCAGTGGTTCTGGTTCCCTTTTCACTGGCAGCTGCCAACGCCCCTTTGGGAGCCGACCACCACTGGTTGTACCCTTTAAGAAATACCCCTGGGAAAACACCCCCTTAGAGAGCAAAGTCACTGGATCTCAGATTCCAGAAGGTCAAGCTTCCACAGGAGGGGACAGCATAGCTGAACCACTCCTCCCACCCCTCCTACAATGGGCAGCAGAGGGAGTTGGTGGCAGTGTATGGTAGCAAAACACCACCCATTTCTCTTTCAGACAGGCGGAACCTGATGCTTCTGGAACTGTGGTTTGGACAAGCTCTCTCTTTCTTCTCTGCCTGCCCCTGGAAGAGCTGTGGGCTGGGCATCTGGGACAGGAAGCTGGATGCTTTCTGGCTCTCCCAGACCTGCTGCTCCTCAGGTCACCCAAGGCAGCCAGCCCTACCCTGCTTCTGCCTCTCTACACCTGTCTGCCTGGGCTCCTGAAGGCAGGATCCTGGCAGCTTCCTAGCCCTGATCTGTGGATGTCTGCCTGAGGGCTCTCACTCCTAGCCATCTGGAACAGGAAGACCCAGGGCAGAATTGACAGCCAGCCAGCCAGGCTCCCCAAGCTGATGCTTGCCCCTCCCTCAAGCCAATGACTACATGGACCCAATGCAGCTCTTCTCATCCAAAAGCAGTTTTCCAGCACCAGCACACAAAAGGCAGGGACAGCTTTCTTTACCATCATTGCAGGTGGTATGAGTTCTGCCTTCATTACTGTCCTGAAATGTGCTTTCATTACAAAGCACAGTGACACCCATTTCTCCTCTAATCTACATAGGTTCCTTTAAAAGACACAACAGTCCTTATCTCTCACAGTTGTGGGTGACCAGTGGTTCTTATTCAAATGGCCAGGGTCTGGCTGAGTGTCACCACCAGGCCTGATTCTTATTTGAAGGCCCCAGTCCTCCCCGGCCTTGAAAGATGCCTCAACCCCCAACAATCCCTTAACTCCATAGGCAACCCCACAAAGGCAACCTCCCAGCTCTGCTGGCTGGACCAGGTCAGTCCAAGGGCCTCTTAGTGTGTCTTGCCTGGACTCAAAAGTACTTAATGAATAGAAGGCTCAGGCAGGGCCCACACAGCTGGTCTAGTCTTCACACTGCCATCCAACACCCACAACACACACAGTCACAGTCACATACACATGCACACTTTCTCAGGAGGGCAAAAGAAAACCCACTGATAAGAGCAATCACTGTTCTAAGCATATCACATATATTCATCCTAACAGCAGACCCTGGGGGAAATATTATGGATCATCCCTAGTTTGCAAGCTGAGAAATCTTAAACTCAGAGAGGCTGCTAGTACATATGTAAGAGGGTTCAAAATTCTCCCTCTGAGTGGGCACTGTGGTGCGTGCCTGTAATCCCAGCAACTCAGGAGTTTGAGGCAGGAGGATTGAAAGTTCAAAGCCAGCCTCAGCAACTTAGCAAGGCCCTAAGCAACTTAAAAAAGACCCTGTCTCAAAAATAAATAAAT